TCCCAACCATCACCATCATCATCCTCACAATCATCATGTATGACCATCATCACTCATCATCATCACGGCCATCACCATCATCATCATCATCTTCACGACCATCATGTATGACCATCATCATCATCGTGTCCATCGTACTATCTTCCTAATACTCCCTCGCCTTCAATCCTCACATCAAATACTTCCTTGCCATCTTCCTGTCGTTCACAAGATCAATATCCTTTTGTTGACGTTTCAGAGTCAAATGATAACATACAACGGGTACCCTGTGGAAAACCATGAGGTCACCACCGAAGATGGATACATTCTGTCCATTCAACACATCCCGCATGGACGCCAAGACAGGTACAAAGATGTCCCTTCCAAGAAAGTGGTGTTCTTACAACATGGCTTACTGGCCTCTGCTACTAATTGGGTGACAAATCTACCCAATCAGAGCTTTGCTTTCATTCTTGCTGACCAAGGGTTTGATGTGTGGCTTGGAAACATGAGAGGAAATACGTACTGCCGACGCCATGTTAAATATCCGGTGGACTCCGATGAATTCTGGGATTTCAGGTAAATACTTAACACCAATCACATTTAATACACGAAAAGAAATCAGCCAAGCCGAGGCACGCGCTTACGCGGCACTGAGGTTTTCACAGTCATACGAAAACTGCTCTTTACACAGGCATGAGCAAATAACGCATTCATTATTTGAAACATCGATGTAGATGTTGGGCAGCTCCCTTCGATCCAAATCGGTTTGATAACTCTAGTCGTTGTTGTGATTACAGTTTTGATGAGATGGCCAAGTACGATCTGCCAGCTATGATCAACTATGTCACTAACATAACAGGACAACCAACCCTATACTATGTAGGTCATTCACAAGGAACCATGATCGGGTTCATTGGATTTGGACGAAATCCTGAGCTGATCAAGAAAGTTGAGACCTTCTACGCTCTGGCACCTGTGTCTACAGTGACCTACATGGGAGGGGCCCTGAAGTATCTGAGCTATTTAGCACCAGAGTTGGAGGTAACTGTTAAGGGTAGATTTAGTCCAGTTTCTACTGAAGTCCTATCCTTGCGCCTATCTTGGATATCCATAACAAAATGACCATGAAATAGAGAACTAAACTTTATTTAGAGAGGGTGACACATGGCAGTCACAACTGATAAACTTGTGGCCCTCTATGTTTGAAGTCTCTGAATGAGACGGCACCGCCATTTTACGTGGTCGTCTGGGTCTAACCCTTTGCAGATATTTTTAGAGCAAAAGGCAACACCTTCTACTCAGATATTTTAAGACCCTGAGTTTTGGTACGGCCGCGCGAGGCTTTGACCCACGACCTCCCGCACAATAGACTGGTGCTCAACCAACTGAGATAACCGGGTTCGATAGATGTTTACCTATGAACTTGAAAAATAAAACTCAGAACTCCTGGGTGCCTAAATCTAACTTATTGAACATCAGTTTTCACAATACTGACATTTTCTAAAAAGACGAAGGTTATCTAAACTGATGTGCATCGAAACGGCCACAGAGGTGGCGTGAAAAACCCTACTAAATGGAACGAAAGTAATATGTATTGGAAAGGGCAGAGAGATGGATCAGAAAACAATCCTGTACGCATTACTAACTTTATAATACACTCAACAAAATTACTCGATTCTGATTGGACAAGAGCATTGCAACATAGTTAATGGATTGGAATGGTTTGGAAACTCCATAGAACAAAGCTATTGTTTTGCGTTTGATGTTGAACCGTACCATCACGTGATACTGACCCTGCACAATGGACCAATGCAAGTATTGCTGAAAATACTCATTTCCTTATTATTTTCATGTATGAACATTTTGAAAGTGAAAACTTTCATTTGATGACCATAAACCATGCGAATAAATATTTCCGCGCAGATACAGTTAAGTTACTGGATGATAAATAAAATGAAAAAGGCACTTTCCTTTTCAATAAACAATTAGTATTAATCATGTAGGATTAAGTAACAAATAATAATTATTTTAGAACGTTTTTTTAGGGTTAAAAATTTCTATATTCCCGAATACTATGAACAAACGGAGCAACGTTTATTTCTCTGTGCACCGTCAACGTCATATAACAATGGATAAAGTCGAACAAAAACCTAGAACAATAGGTTTCCCAACCATTCCGCTCCATTAAAGTGCAAATGAACCCTTCGACAATACTTTCAGTACTG